AAATGCAGGCCCTGGAGTACAACACATATTCGAGTCATATGAGCAAGCAGGTCTCGATGTATATCGCGAAATCATTCAAGGGTACCAGCACCAAGCCGCTATCGCCAAAGGTTTGGAACCACGACTAGCCGAGCTCAATGCGTCGAACCCAACCAATTGCGACGACGTGTTCGTATCACACAACATGCATGCCCTTGCGGCGACAACGACCGTTTCGCTTGATTTCCAGCTTAGCGCCGAGGTGGGTTGATATTCTCCGGGCTAGCCCCAATCTAACTTCTACTCCTAAGGTTCACCCTTCCATGTCCGTGTCGAGATCATCCATGGGGCCTTTGGACGAAGCGACGTTCGAGGTCCCGGCACCGGCCAACGACCTTATCAACGCGCAACGGGGCTTGGGATCCCTAACTCTCAAGGATAGTATAGCAAAAGTATTCAGTGTTATCGATGATTTTGAATTCGAAGGACACCAGCATATCCGGCGGATGCGCCCGTATCTGGATTCGATCAACCGGTCACACGAATTCTGCATCTCAAAACAGGTATGTGGTTTGGTCGATATTCCCGCTTATCTGCTTGCTCATGACGAAGCTTGAAGGACATTATTAGCCCAAAGATTGAGTCTATCGCCGCTCGAGTGGCGTTGGATCTGGAGGTCCTACGCTCAAAGACTCGGACTGTACGGAACGTTGCATCGAAGGCGAGGCCGACAGAAGGAATGATCAAGCAATTGATGAGGGTATCAAGAGCTATGGACCTTATCATGCAGAAGGCTCGGGCGCATCCAAAAGACCATTGCCTTGCAGACGAGCTTGGTGAGTTTTGTGCTTGATCTTTGCGAATGGGGGCTCATACCTACCCTTGTAGACGCGATGAACCTTGAAATCGCTTCGAAGGAGACAATACAATCTCCAGATACTCGTCGCTGGCTCGCACAACCCCAGCTTCTGATACAGCATAATATGGCTCGAGTTGTAGACATCCTTGGCCACTTCAGAAACTCCGGGAGGTTGCCATTGACCCGTCACGACGAGTTGGGCGGAGCAGTGACCGTGGAGAAGTGGAAGAACCCTGCAGACAGTCTCTGGGATGTCAGTGACTCTTCCATTGCAGTGGTAGAGGAATATGTTGAATCTGGTGGTCGTAGTCTTGTAAGTGATTATGTTGCTTGCGCGAATCATGAGGTTAATCCAACTTCCAGGCCAGCGAAATGGAACAGGCAGACAAAACCGGCCCTGAAATTGCGATAGTTCGGCCATCCGCTTCCTCAGGACAACCCAGCGCCGTATCCGTGGAGACCAGCAAGTTTGTCCCGGGGAATCTCAAGTTACATCCTCTAGATACATCGGTCGGAGGGTTCTGTAAGCCCTTGCCAGTAACCCTCGTAAGCAGCAGGTCTAATTCTATCCGAGTTGAGCTCATCGAAAATCCAAGGCCTCCGAACTCAAACAAGCAGGCTTAGCAGAGTCAGATACTGCACCTGTCGCGGCGTTGGCGGATTGTGTCCAATCGGACAATCGCAAGTCAGGGGTCTTCGACGACCTTGTATTGCAGGAGCCACTGGGGAATCGTACGCGGAAAGCTTTCTTTTACACCCGAGGGGTGATAGGGCATGTCCAATTACGACTTGTTCGGCTTTGCGAGAGGGTGAACACCAGTCCAGACGTGTTGCAGCGGGTCGGTTGGGGGAAGCCATTCAACATAAGGCAGCTTGTTTGGTCCGCAGCGGTACTCGTCATGGGTCTGGTTTGCATAATGGTGCTTAACCCCGTTCTTCAGCGAAGTGAAGAGGTCTATTGGGGGCAGTCTGGCCCAAACCTAGTAGACTTCATGCGCAACACGCAGTGCATTGGGCAGGCGTGGTGCTAGGTGGGTAGACTGTAGAATGAATTGGTGATATTGATACTCGCATGACTTGGTATAACTGTTCAAATAGGGCATCGTAATTTGGTCGTATGCATGTAAAATGCAGGTGGTATGTAGGTGGCACTCAGGTTGTATGTAGGTTGTGTAAAGGTCGTATGTAGGTCGTGTGTAGATCGTATGTAGGTCGTATACAGGTCGTATGATCGCAAAGCTACTAGTTCTGGGCGGGCGCTAATTTTGAACGTTTGAGCGCCGAGGCTGTGGCGTAATTTTGGCACATCGGACCGGCGCTGCACTGCTAGCACCCTTCTCTCTTCACTACCACGAGCTCGCGGGAGCCTACTCTCTATTTACTCTCTATTCTGACTAGCAACTTGCGCAATCAAGGCTCCAAGGATCTCGTCGACATCTGGTGAGAAAAATGGAGGGATTCAGTAAGTTTCTGCTTGGCCTTTGGGGGGAGAGACGCGGGAGAGCTGACACTTTTCTTGATCAAGATTGCAGTTCACTCACCTTTTACCTTGGCTGGCCATTATGAAACGGTGGCATATGCTTCAACTACCTCTTCCTGGGCGTCGAGGGTGCCAAAGTCGCAGTTCTCCAGCAGAAAGTCGAGGGACAGGTTCGCAATTTGATTGATCGTACTGAAATTGGCCTCCATCTCGAATTGAAGTGGGTGAGTTCACAGGACAGAACGCCGGGATCCTTACTAACGACGCGACCTAGTACTCGGTGTCTGGGCTTCTCGACGCCACCTCTTCGTTCTTCTTCATGGCCAAGCCCAATGAGCAACACGATATCATCAAGAAGCTTCATGACCGGGAGTACTCATCAAGCGAAGTCGCAGCCACAGTACTTGTTTTCTTTTCTCTAGATCAGTGCCGTTTCTTCACTAATGATACTACGAGCAGCTGGCCATGATGCGCTACCTCCATCGTGTCGGTTTTGCCGGCTGCTCTCCCGAAAAGATCAAGGATGCAGCCCACTCCTCGGTCCGCCAGCGTTTGCAACGGTCTCATCTACGATGTTACCGACAGGAGTTCATTTACCCAGCCGCCACCTGCATCCCACCAAACGGCTCAAAAGCCTCAACGTCGGCAGTGCTATCCTCGCTCGTGAAGAAGTGTGTCGTTCTGACGAACGATATCTTTCGCGCTCCGCTTACGAGCAGCTCAGTGCGAGGATGCAAGCAACCTTGCAACCCAGCGTTCAAGGGTTTGCGAACTGTTTGACCAGTACCTACGTAAGAAGCGGTTGACTAGAGACTTCGATTCGGCGGACAGGTTCGTGCATCCTTTCATATCCTTAACTTGCAGTGAAGCTGACCACGGCTAGTTCAGAACGCACAAATTGCTATCCAATTGCTATCTGCATTCAGGAATGGTGTCCCTCCGGGTTTGGGTCAGCGTTTTGACTACCTGTGAGTCGCACATGTGCCCGTTTCAGAATGTTTCCCTTGGGATTGATACCTTCATCATCATAGATATGTGGACGAGGTTCAAGACAACCTCTTCATCGATGCCCTGCGTACGTGTTCTTCTGAGCAATACCTCGAAAGTTACGATCTCAAGGTTACGCGACAGTCATGCGCCTTTTGTGTCGCAACCCAATTGGATTGTTTTGGGTAGGAGATACCACTCAAACGATCTCAGTGGGAAGCTCTTTCCGTTTCAACGACCTAAAATCATCGTTCCTGTATTGTGTCGAGGTAGATTGCTCAAGCCCCATGTTCTCCTGCTTCCCGCTGATACCCCGACTGATTACAGGGAGAAAGCTTCAATGACGAGAACCGTCCAGCCGAACCCCAGACATTCCAGCTTACCAACTAACACTCACACTCGGGGATATTGGACTGTGCTCATACGGATATCGAACTCATTGCCAACTTTTGGCCATACTCGATCAACATTCTCCAGCCTGGGAAGGACCTGGTGGACATTATAAAACCGGTTTTCTTCCGAGGCTGGGATCAGTCGAATGTGCGTTACGAAGAGTTTCCATTCAAGGCCTCGTAAGCGTGGCTTCGTACTCTGATTTGGTACATTCCTGCTAACTCCTCAACTCAATCAGGCGCAGAAATTACATCGAACTTGGTGCTAAACAACGTAAGATAGTCTCCCGTCTAGATGCCCAATCATCACAAGCCAATTACATCATCTAGGCATCTTAGTTTGAAGCGATGCAGCTCGCGAGAAGCTCCGAAAATACGTAGGCGATATCGGTCTCATCATGTCAGTGATATCTTCGCTTTCCACTTGGGTCGAACTATACTGACATGGGTCTCTTCATGTTATCCGCCCCCAGGCTTAAGTTGCTGGCTTCCACCAACTTCGGTAGCCCGAGAGCGCCAGAGAACCCACGACAAGTTCGTGATAAGCCAGGTCCCTTGTTGTACCGAAGGTGACACGCCACCACGAAAGACAATTGACTCAGCTCAAATGCGGCGACAAACGGAAAGTACTTGTCGCCATCTACGATGGCATGATTGTGTTCAGGGAACGAGAGACCCACATTGGATTGTTTTGGATAATTTCGGAGCCAACCCCAATCTGGATCTGGAACCGCTGAGTTTTCTCTCGCCGCGAGAAGGAGCGAAGCAACATGGGCAACGTTTCTTCGGGGCTTTACGAGTTTTCTGGACACGTCGTCAAGGTCAGGAAGCCGAATGAGAGGTCGAGGCCGGGAAAATGTAGAAGGCGGGATTTGCAGATGGTTCTGATGCACCTCTTGAACCAGGTATGAGCTCCGCGGTCTTCGAAAATGGTCTTATGCCCCTGGCCCTGTTGGATTTTCTTATATCTGTCTCTCGCCTCTCTACCTGCAGACCCTCTTTGTATCGTACTTTCTTGAATTTATTGTTTCAGTTTCATACTAAATGATAGACCTCGGGGAGTTAGTGTCATGAGTAACTGTGCTCTTCCATACCTTTTCCGAGCAAGCTGTTCCTCCACCGAATGAGTATGGAAGACCACCCTCGCGAAAGTCAATAGGTTTTCCCCTCTTCCTGAGTCTCTCAAAGGAGAACCGAGGATCGGGAGGGATATGAAGAAAGTGATCGAAAAAAAGTCCCCCGCTCCGAGGTGAGTTTGACTTGACCATATGGTCACAACCAAGTTACCAGACCTTGTAAATGTGGACGAGTAGCTCAGTGGTAGAGCATCTCACCATTGTCCGGTAGGCCCTTGAGCCCAACATGCAATCGAGGCGTCCTCAGTTCGATCCTGAGCTTGTCCAAAATTTTTTGAGTTACCTGGATAAATCCTATTGTGGGTGGCAAGATACTCACAAGAATTACATGTGGGTACAGTATCTTATACCCTGCAATATAGGGGTGGAAATATTGGTAGTGCTGTAGCTAAGTAGGGGGTACAGTGGTGCGTTTTTCTGCTTGCAGAGGCAAAGCGATAAGCAAAAAATACCCATTGGCGAAAAATTTCAATCCCAAGCTCGCACAAGGAGACATTTCCAGCTGGACCTTATTTGTATGATGCTATCAAGCTTCTAGAGTACATTGTTGGCTGTTTGAAGGGTATCTAAAGTGGTGAAAAATACCTAAAATTTCGGAAAAATGAGACAAAATCGTTCTCAAACATGGTTTTGGGAGAGAGGATTGTCATTGTCAATTTCATCACCGAAAAGAGAGATCATATTACTCATACCGTCCTCAGAACCGGACATCTCTAAATCTTCCATAGGATCAATGCTACGAGCAGTTTAGAAGAATGAGAAGAATTGTATCCAGATCCTGAAGATCCCTCATCATCCTCGAGTACACGCTTCGAGCTGGACGCAACCGGACTAATTCTTTGTTCAAGGGTGCAGGTGCGGGTGCGGGCTTCGGTGCGATGGGCTTCTGTCGCAACGATGTCTTCGAGCAGTTTGAGGTACCTGGCTGTCTTTATAGGAACACTAAGTCTGTCAGCTAAAGATCGAGCCTCGCGTACATCTTCAAATCCTGACTCCAAAGGTTTGAAACCTGTGAATGACTGCATGGCAGCCGGGTTCTTCTGCTTCTTTGGCATTGCTTTGGTGAAAGTGCTGTCGCATGAAGCATCCCAGTAACCTTTGAAGAACGGAGGAGGAGGTGATCCTACAGTGCGAGTAGAAGGTGTGCTGGCGATCTCTGCGCGAAGGGAATTGTTAACCGCATTCAATGTGATACGTTCCTTGCGACCAGTGATAGAAGAGAATGGACGGTTAGGAGGAGCGGGAATGACAGTCGCCATAGAGGCAAAGTGACCATGACCATGTGGACAATTGCCACCGCAATTGCCACCAGAGTTACCACCCGCATTGCTAAAGTCCTGATTGATCCCACCTCAAGTTCCATGCAACTGCTTCTTCTTCTTACTATCGTTGCAGTTCAAAGAGGAATTCTGCTGTTGTGACTGATTCTGCTGCTGCTGCTGTCCCCGCTGCTGCTGTTGACGTTGCTGCTGCTGCTTGGGACACTGCTGTTGGTGGAATGAGGGAGAATTGGTATCACCGTGTTTAACAGCGGTGAGCCGACCTGCAAACTGTGGGTTGAGATGCTCATACTCAACAAGGATGGTGTCCTGAACTCGATTGAGAGTGAGGGGTTCCTTGGTTGGTTCCAGCTTAATCTCTTCATCATCGCTGTCGTTGCTGCAGTCCTCATGCCCATAATTGCGAAGGCACTTGGAGGCAGGCGCTTCCCAATTCTTGGGTATAGCTTGAATGAGGATGAGAGCTTTGATAAGCTCAGGGAGAACAACCCCAACGGACTCGAGATATTCAAAGTACTGGCGCAACTTGGCAATACTACAGTCAGTAATGCTCATTTGGGACGGTGAAATCTTGTTTGGGGTTTTATGAGACATCAACTGTCCCTTCCCCTTGTTCTCTCTATCTAGGAATGTATGTATACAGTAGCTTGAGATATCTATCAACTCACATTGGTCATTGAGGGGGGTGGGAGGTGGAGAATTTTCTAATCAGCTCAAAATTTTGTTATCAGCCCGGAACCACCATTTGGGATGTGACATAATTATGCTGATAATCTATGTTTTTGAATAGTTTTGAATACAAATAGACACTGAGTATCGCCAAACCCGTTACATCCGGTGACTTCCATCACCGCCTTTTGTGAGTTTCGCGCCCTCGTCTCGTCCAGCTTCGACATTACACCTCCCTCTCCCCAGCTATGCCCCCATTTGGTATTGGAAAATGTTGCTATTTACTATGCAAAACAAACCTACCAATACCAAAGGTCTCCTGATGACATCTCCTTTCATAATTACCATATCAATATTTGACTAGTGCCTAAATTCACCATCCTTCGTTCCATATCTCAATGAATGGGGCTCCCCATCTCTTTATGCTCGCTCAGCATATGCACACATAAGCCAAGAATAATTCCAAAACAAGGCCGACAAAAAAGACTGGAGAATTGCGCCGTCAAGCCAAGATGTCCCAAATGATGATCGTATCCCAAATGGGCATTACTGACTGTACCAAGTGGATTTTGCTGGTTGAGCGTGAAGGTGACAGCTTTAAGGAAGTCGCCGTAGATGGTGGACAAGGTGGGCTGACCATACATCTTGTTCATCAACGTCCATGCTTCAGAAGCCGTCATGTTCTTGAAATGGTCAAAGGTACTGGCCGTCATTGTGAGCTGGAAGTATCCTATAAGGATGTTGTTGTTTTTCTTCCAACCCGCGCGTTTAACAGCCCATTCCTCCTTCTGTTCCCCAGTAGGATCATGGTAACGGGTCTCAGTATGGGCATTATCACCAGTACCAACGGTAACAGAGTGGCTACTGCCAACAGGATAAGGAGTATCCTTCTCTTCGTAGTCGCAATACAGTGAGGAACAGAGAGAAAAGACAGTAGGCAGTGAGCCTCAGACGGTAACAAACTGCTGAGGTGGAATGGTATTTCTAGCTAGCTTATATACGAGAGTACTAGATAGCTAGAATACTATGGAATGGAGTAGAAGGTACTGTGCGTGATGTAAGTACAACTGTGCATGATGTACGGAGGAGTAAGTACGATCTGTAAGGCAAAGGGTTATGGAGTACGGGCGGAGTATATGAGTAATGTAGGTCCAAGGGCAATGATATCATACAATGAGGAAGGGTGTAACTACGTCTGGCGGACTACTCGGGTGATCAAGCTGAGGTTGCCATACTGGAATACCAACTTTCGTTGATCAAGGTTTCATAGAGACCAGCGGCCTTGGTGACACCTTCCATGGTAGGTTTGTACTTGGGCAAGAATTGAACGGTGGAGCCATCGAAGAGCTCATTGCCAAAGTGCTTCTTGAGATCGAACATGATGATCAAAAGATGTGATAGATTTGGATCTGGAAAAGACAGCATCAGCATGCGTCTAATCAACACAGGATAGCAGCCATCAAAGGGCGCTGTGCTCATGATGAACACTGGATCTGTTAGATCCGATATTGTCAAAGGACGATACATCAATGCCATTGATCGAACACTCAATCAAGAGGTTGATGGCATTTACAGGCATAGCCTGGGTTGCCATTGACAGCAGCCAGCAAGGGCGCTCGTCATTGACTATCAACAGCAGCCACTAAGGCGCTCGTTGTTGACAGCAGCCATTGCAGCGCTCATCAATTTAGTAGGGCTAACCGGGGCCCATAACCTGTAGAGCCGGCATAATGCCTAGTGCAGTGGACTACAACATGACTACAGACATACTTACCAGGAGAGTTGCTAGAGAGTAGAGGCGAGACATAGAAGCTCAAGCACTGTAGATTCTAGTAGAGAACTACCTGCTTATATACATGTAGGGACCATAGGAACTACCATATCTAGAAGTAATAGAGTTGTACATATGTGCATAATGAACAATCAAGCTGTAACGACTATTTAATTTTCTACCCATAGGTACCCATCAGGACCCACATATCCACCCACAACGCGAACCATCACCTGTAACTCCATATTTCCGAGGTTCCCATCAATATGTCATAACATAACAGCTGACTCCAAAGCGCCCACAACCGAACTAGCACTCAGCCTGTTATCCCAACCCAACGAGTTGTCTTTCTATCCCTTGAACCAACCCGATACCATGTCCAAGACCTGTACACTATTTGGAGTCCCACATGATACTACTCAATGCAACATCCCACGACCACCGAGTTACTAAATAACATCCCGATACACATTCAACACCTCCTTTGCTGGGGTTACTCCGTCCCAATACTCAGTCCAATTGCATTCTGTACTTTACTCCAATTTCTTCTTGGACTTTGGGACTTCTGACACTAGTAATACATACATGGTAATGTCTGGGACCCAATAATTGGATCCTGAGACCTATATAAGCTAGCTAGAAAAACCATGTACTTCAGTTTACGACTTAGCTTTCATATCTACTTCTCTTGCTCTACTCTCTGTCTAGTTCGCTGCCAACGACGTTAAGCTCCAAAGCTGTGCTAGTCAATATTCTAGGTATGGCAACTTCGGCCTAGCTAACCATTGCGCCTACATGACCCTACACATTGTATGATATCATTATCCCTTTGCCCTACATTACTCACTATACTCCTCCGTACTCCACAACCCTTTGCCTTACTGATCGTACTTACTCCTATGTACATCATGCACAGTTGGACCTACATCATGCACAGTACATTCTACTCCATTCTACTATATTCTAGCTATCTAGTACTCTCGTATATAAGCTAGCTAGGAATACCATACTACCTCAGCGGTTTATTCACCACCGCCTGAGGCTTTCTGCCTTCTCTCTTTCTCCTGCTCCCTGCAGTATTGCAACTCAAACCGCTATTTCAAACTGCTTGCTACCCTTGTCAAACTGCTAGCCAAGATCGTGATCATTTCACATGTCACTGTCAAAAGCTGCTGTAATGCCACACCCCTCTCTACTCAGTGCCTAATGCTGTAATTCTATTCACCATTGATTGGCCACATTCTTGCCACGCGATATTTCCCTGCCAACGACAACACATTCCACTTCATTTCATGCCGACATCCTGATCCGTGCAACAAGCCGCTGTATCTCTGCCATCACCATTCCATATGCCAGACCGAATTCATTCATTTGCCATGCCATTACGACACATTGCCAATTCCATTCACTTGCCAGCTCTATTCATTGCCATTGCCATTGCCACTTGCCCCCTGCCTTATTCACTTGCCACGCCATTCATGCCCATTGCCATTCATGCCGTATGCGAGAAGGAAGCCTGGCTTAACATCCTGGCAACCTACTTTTAT